TTTTGAAAGCTTTCCACCAAAATCAGAATGATGCTTAAAGCATCAGCAACTCATCTTCCTTCATCTCTGAAATCCCAAGCCTTTTCATAACTGAAACAGTGAAGGAGCCAGGGGCTCCACAGAGTCCATGAGAGGCCTTACTACTGCAACTCAGTTTTCCATGGGAAGTACTCAGCCACTGTAGTGTATGTCCTAAAACAGTCAGCTTAAGAATTATTTGGATGAAAATTGTTGAAAAGCTTAAGCAGAATAAATACTTGTAACATCTTGTGATGTTGCTGTGGTATTACTTACCACATGGAGCTGTGTACTAAATAAAATCAATAATTTGGTGGCTGGTCCTAACTTCTGCTGCATGAAGCTGCTCTGTTGTTTTGTCACAGCTATGGCCCTGTTTTCTCTCCTAATTTGTTGTGCTTGCTCAGTGAAATTGAATCCCACAAGTCTTGGAGAAGTTGTTTTCCTTCGTGCAGATGGCTCTTTCCTCCAGACGTGACACGCAGCTAAGAGCTGCATTATTTTTTTCTTAACCCTGCTGCCCATCTTGAAATCACGCTGAGGCTGTGGCCACAGTAGTACCATGGTTCTTGCCCTATATCCGATTTTCCTGTGTATAAGCTGCCGTGCATGTCAGTCACAGCATGCGCCCCATAGGCTTCTGTTACCTAATGTAGGTTGCTTTGGTTTGTTGGGTTTGGGTTTTTGGCTGTTTTAACAAGGACAAAATAAAAATCAAGAGCTTGGTGGCCCCTGGGACGTGTCCCTGCTGGAAGCTCTCATGGCAAGTTGGCTCTGGCAAGGGTGCAGCCCTTCGTGCTTGTGGCTGCAAATGTTCCAGCCTCGCATCTTCAGCCCAGAGAAGCAAAGGAGAACCTACCCTTGCCATTTCCCTTCACTCTGCTTGTTTCACTTGGGAACACAATGAGCTGTCAAAATTTCCTGCCCTGCTTCCACAGAATCCTTCCTTTCACTCAAAAAAGAATTATTTATCTAAAACTGCTAATTGCCTAAACTGTCAGAACAATTGTTCAGCTTAATTTTAAGGTGGAGAGCGAGGAGATGTAAAGGTCTGGTGAACTGATCAAAGTTGCCCTCAAAGTCCTCTGTCAAACCAAAAAAGAAAGTCTGGTGTGTTGCCATGAACGGCCCTTGCCTCTCAGAAATTAAAAGTCATGCAGTATGGTGTACATCTGGTGTGATCCCTATATTTAGCATCTCTCTTGAGTGTACTTAGAGGTAATTAAAAGTAATAGGGAAGAATATAAATGTTCTCCAAATAAAAGCCAAGAAGACACAGAGGGCAGGTGTGGTTGATTTAGCCCACCATTACTTCCTAACTAATCTTTTTCTAATGATGTAGAAAGAGACTAGGTGGCACCTGGCGAAGGATTTTGAAATTACAGATTCATGAGGTAGAGCTACTTGATAACATCTTTTGACTCATCAAAAACTTGCCTTCCCTGAGGGTAAAGTTAATAATGCTGGAATATAAGGATTTTAGAGGCTTTTACTAAGGCAGCAGGGTTGTAGATTTATTGTGCATATAGTTTCCCATAGTGCTAGAGACAGCCCAAAATGTTATTATCCATTAAAAATGTGAAATTACACAAACAGCCGGTCAGAATCATCAGTAATTTTCCATGACATCAAGTCCTTGGTTTTGCTAGTTTAGTAAAACACATTCACATTTTCTTAGTTTGAAGAACATAGAACTGGTAGCAAGTATATCAATTGTCATGCATGGTCCTTAACTATTTTAGGCCATTTTTCAGTGTGTATAAAGCCCATGCCATCAGCTGCTTCAAATGTTTTTATCTCCTCCTTCAGAATCATATTCTTCTGATCACCTAAATGGTTCTTTTCCCATTCTGCTCCTTATCAATGGTGGGCATTACTCCAGGTTGATTTTCCTTTTATGAAATGGCTCTTCAATGCCCTGATCATCTTCCTAGAGGTCCTTCTCTTCACTTTTTCCAGAAGGAATTCAGCTTTCTCAGAGGCAGTATTTCAGCTGAATTTACACCAAGTGCTTTGACTAATGGCATCAATACCTCCCTCACTTTCCCTCTGGAATTACTTTACGTGAATAATGTACGTACGTGTCTGAGTTGGCTGGTCTTTAGTTCTGTAGGAGACATCAGCAGCACCATGAAAGGAAGCTAGACTACCAGTAAAATGAAAGTGGAAGCTGCACATAGCAGCACATAGCTGCACTGGCCGTAGAGCAGTTGAGGCAGAGAAGGGGACAGCAGCAGTGAACTTTATTTAAAATGGCTGTGGCTGTATACAGCTGGTATCTCCAGCTTTGTCTCACTAGTGCTCTCCTAATTCTGTGTCAAGATCATCAATAAAAATTTTAAGACCATTCCCAATATCAGTCTTCTAAAGATCATACAGTAACTGTTACCAAGCAAAGTTTCCTTTTAGTGTACCATGTTATCTTCTTTCTTACACTATTTTCCCACCTGAGTTTTCGTGCTTATCTCGTCTTACATGTTTAACAAAGCCCTTATGATTGAAATGCACTATGCTATTGATTTTTTTGCTGTTGTCTAACCGTTAGCTACTTCATTCGAGGTAATTAAATATCAAGTTTTATCTTGCATGGTTTACTTTTGGTAAGCTCACATTGTGTTTTCTTCTCTGTTGCAGTTGTCTACCTACCTTTAGCATTCTCTTCCTCAAAATTCGGAGTCATGCTATTAAGATCATACCTTTATATGTAACTTTGTATGATTTTGTTGTTCTGTAGTACTATGATACCTTTCTTGATCTAATAGATATAGCATGTCATGTCCAGAAAGAAAATTAGTCTTCCCAGGTTTACAATATCTTACATTTGGAGGGGGTGCGGGGGCGGCAGATTTTTGGAAGTTTGAATTCCTCTTTTTTTTTTGAAGCATCTGTTGATTTAGTCACGAGTGACATGTTGATCAGTGGGATTACTTGCAAGGGGTTACTTGCAGTTTCCTGTTAATTCATTGGTGCATACAGAAAAACAAAAGCCTTGATCAAAGCATGCTCTTGAATTTACACCCGTTCTTAATTTGCTGGTGCTTGTATTAGTGACAGGCTCAAGCCTGTCTGATTTTTTGGAGTTTATATAATGCGTACCATATGCTTGCCATTCTTACTCTTTCTGCACCAGTCAGCCAATCTGATGGGTCTACCTGTGGCAGAGAGCAATGCTTTTAAGTCCAGGTGCTGCCTTATGAGCTCTGACTCATGGGTGCTGGTGAATCTTGCTTCAGTGTTTTACAGACTCTCCAGCTATTTGCTCCACCCTTCTGCCCTTTAACAGAAGGATTGTGGGGGAAAAGGTGTATATACTGCATTGCCACAAGTTGCTCATGATTTTAAGCTGCTGATGAAGGTAGACCAATGCTATTACCATACCTTTGAACTGCAACAGCTGAAGAGCAGGCAGAGATTTGCGCCTCCTGCCCCTGCTATCAGGAGGGGTAAGTGGGGTCAACAACAGCTTGAGTTGTTTTGGGCTGGTTCCTTAGAACGAGCGGTTGGCAAGGAGGAGTGGAGTAAAGGGAACACGTGTTCAAAGTAACAAAGCAAAAGTAAGGATGAGAGAAAATAGGTTGATATTTATAATCAAAAGTGACAGTGTTTGAAATATTCTTAATAGGAGTGCATGCTCCTGTGTCTTTCGTACCTCTAAGGACCCCTAGAGGGCATGGAAATTTTTCTCCACCTCGAATAGTTAATAGTTCTGCTTGGCTTTCTTCCCTTAAACATAATTGTAAGCACATTTTAAGTGAACGTTAGATAGAAAAAAAGAAGAGCATCTAACGAAGTCCTTCTTTTGCACTGCAAGATGTTTTCTTGTTTTTAAACACAAGCAGTAAGAGTTAGCACTAGCAGCCAAATTCTTAAATTATTTTTGTTTAGATTAGATGCTATATTCATATCCCAGAGGAAGCACAATTGGAGCTAACTAATAATTCATAATTTTATTGCAAATTTTGAGAGTCCTATAGTGTGAGCTGTCTGAGGAAGTGCAGTGGGTAGGCTTTCAACACTATGGCCCATGTTTCTGTAGAAGAGGACTTGGTATTGTGAAGAACTAGAGTACTCTAGAACTAGAGAACCTATAAAATCTCCAAACTTCATCTTATTTTAGAATTTTTAATATTTTAGTTTTGTTATTTGTCTATAAAGAAACTATTACATTATAATACAAGGTATTTAAGGTTATGGAAATGTAAAAGTTACATCTACTTCCCACTACTTCCTATCTACTTAGAGAGAGATTTTGTAACTCTTATTCATCCTGAGTAGCATTTTTCTCCTGAAACAAGTTTTGCCTACTTCATCAATATTACATGTTAATTCAGGAAGTAATCAATGTGAATTACACTGTGATATTAATTCTTAGTATTGTGTTGTCCTTTTATCATATTTAAATATAAATCCTAAAGCACTGGAGTAATGCTTATCTGAGAACATCAGGTTTCACTTACATGAAGAAGCTTTGGTGTTTGAGATGGCTGATGTTTTCCAGAGTGCTCAAAGATCAGAAAGTAAAACAAACACAGTCAAACAAACACAAACAAAACACCACCTTAAAAAAAAGATATCGTATTTTCTTTTTGAATATTTTCATCAACTCATGATTTTGAGACCAGCCCTACAGCTTTGGAAGTCAGTTGTGCAGTGAGCCTTTTGTGAATAATGTCATGATAGTCAGAATCCAACTGGTCTTGTCTGGGCAAAAAAACGGACCTCTGTGCTACTCCTTCGTGTCTACTTACTGGACAAGAAGCTGTGAAATAGGATAAAAGCGGGGAGGGGGGTTGTGCTTTTGTTCTGATAAGAGGATCAGCTGTACTGCTTTACCCAGTTACCCAGGGATGTTTTTCTGGACCTTAGTTTTCCCACTGGAGGAGCATAACGTCATCACTTTGAATAGAAAATAGATCTAGATCTAAATGGCAGAGAAAGGCATCTGCCCCTTCTAACGTCTCTAGGGATTTTGTGTTTTGCAGGAGATGCACGGGTGAGAGGTCAGACAGGGGTTCTCTCTGAGCGCCGCGGCTCCTACCCGTTCATAGATTTCCGTCTTCTTAACAGTAAGTGCAACCCTTCCTTCAGTTCTATATTAAAAATAAAATAAATCTATTGAAAGTATATGACCCAAAGTATCTCGTTTCATACATATTTGTAGTTCAGCTGTCTTCACACAGTCAGCATTAATAATTCTATTATTCCCACTCAGTGTTTGACTGAAATGTTTTGATTGTACAAATACTGTCCATAATGCTGAGACTGTCAAGTAAATACAGGAGTGCCATGGGGTTTGCTGGGGGAACGGGGGGTGCTTCAGAATTAAAAAGATAAACCTCTGTGTCCCTTAGCCTCTAAGCCAACAGTTGGAACAGATTTATGTGAGTCTGTTATCCGGTCATATAGAATTGGCACAGAAGTGGAGCATGTGACAGCACTGACCAGTGGTTTACAATAACATTAATTTTTCCAACAATTAGAACCCAATCCAAAGCCCCATGGAGTCTTCTCATTGACGTCAATGGATTTTGGGTCAGGCCAGCAGTGAACATCTGTTAAAAATAATCTTACCCTCATTTTGATTGAAGTTACTTTGCCACTGTTATAAATAAAGGAGGGCAAATCTAAAAGGGAAAAAAAAAAATCATGATCCTGTTGTTTGGGGTTTTTTTCACCTGATAGATTTTTTATACTGATGCAGAGCCATTAGCCAGTGTGTAAAAATTAAAATAAAATAAAAACCAGAGAACATTTAGACTTGGGCCCCATAGCATTCTGTCTCGATGCTGTGTTAACTGCAGTGTTCAGACACAGGGAGCTCTCAACGTGTCCTTGTGTACTGCACACACTAGTCCATGTAACCTTTGAAACAAAATTTATTCAATGTCTTCATCAAAACAGACTGAATGTCCAACAGTTTGTTTAATGATGACACTTTTAAGCTTCTAGTGATTATGCTTTTCATTAAAAAGCAGTTGTCAAGGCAAAGTTTTATGTCTCTCATTTGTAACTGCTTGTAACTTGCCCTTGTGCCTGAGGAAGGATAAAGGAGGAAAGTGGCAGAGAGGGGGGAAGGAGCCCAGCTGCAAAGGGTGAGCTCTGAATGGAAGTCAGGAGAAAAGAGGTGCTAATAGGAAGGGAAGGTCTTGGGATCTGACAAAGGGAGTAACATACTGGTTTGAGGATAATTTAGTCCTGGCTTGCAATGAAAAATGTGAAAAAAAATCCCACCTGGTTTAGGCTAGCTGGAAATATTACTGTTGATGCTGAGGGAAAAACTGAGAGAAAACAAATCATTTCTTTATGTTCATGAAGTAGATGTGAATATATATTCACATTTAAGTGTGACTAATTATTTCCTTTTTATCTTGAATACATACACGACACTTACAATTCTCATACAATGTTCTTTCCTCTCCCTGGTTAAAGAAACCAAAAACTTCTCAGATCTTTTTCCTGGCAGTAGGGCTTTCACTTTTACCCCTCTAGATGAATCCTACCAGCTTCTGGGAAGTGCTGGTGCTGTCTGTGGGCTGTCTAGGAAGAGATCCATGGCAAGGGACATACTGTGAATTCTCAGACTTTGATCATACAAGGAGCAGGGCACTCCTCATAACCCATCTCCTGTAACTGCTGACATTAAAAGCAATGCCTCCCTCTGCATGTGTGTCTGGTCCCATGGAGGTGAGGCACCCTGGAGACCTCTGTCATTCTTTCTTTATTTTACTGCTTTTCTGTAATCTGAAGGAAATCCCTATGGCTGGTCGTGATCTCTGTGCAAGGGAAAGCAGTGGGTTTAATTTTGGATTTCCCAGTTTTCACAGTTTTGTATATTTACTGCTTTCTGCCTAGGGAGCGGTGTTGGTTCATTTTTTAGTGCAAAATGAAGTGAAATTTCTAGGCACTTAACTAGTAGGTTTGTAGATGGCAAGTGCACTGGGCCTGGCTCACTTGGTGACCTACAGGTAAATGAAGATGCTGTGTGACAGAACACACAGACGTGTTTTTCCAAGAACTAAACAGATGTATTTGAGCTAATAATATAAAAGTCTATCTATCTGTCAAATTCTTTTCTGTTGTTCATACCATATAAGCAGCAAAAAACCATGATGCTGCCATCCTATGAGAAAGAAACATATATAAATGTCACTACTGCAGATTTTTTGAGAAGTGTCTAACTAATACTCGCAGTAATATTTTGGCACCATGTTGTATTTGTTTGGGGCAATAGCTGACAGGCAGCAACTGCATACTGAAAGCTGTTACAGTAAGGGAGGGATGAGGCAGAAAATATTTTATGGCAAATATCCTCAGAAGTTATAAAGAAATGAGCATAAACATTACTCCACTTCTCACTAATTCAGAAAAACTGAGCTTAAATAGTCATTGTTCCTTATTCCAAATAACAGTACCACCCTTGTTTTAAAGTAAGGGAAAACACTGAAGCTCATTCTTCAACAGACTTGACATTCATTTTGAAAATTGACATTTAAAAAAAAAATCAGGACATTGCTATTTAATGTCAGACTAAAGGTTACTTCAATGTAACTTTTTTAACTCGGTTACAGTTCAGTCAAACTGGTGGATTTTTCCCTACTCTGGCTATTAAGGGTTAGCAGTGAGTAGACCATATCTTTTGTTTTTTCTGGAGTCCTGCAGTAAAGTCACTGTGCAACTTAAGACACCGTTAAGTCTTTTTGGATAGGAAAACTTCCTGTGCTCTGAAAGTGGGATCTTCTGTAGCTCTAATCAAAGCCAACTGGATTATTCTTGGCTTCTTGCTGTTTGAGCTAACGTCTGTGATGCCATCTACACATTCCTCTGGTGCCTCTCTGCAATATATAGAAAGTTAGTGAGTATTATTTCACCTTGTCAGTGCCAGACTGTCAGGGCCGTGAGGGTTTTGCAGGATCCTGCCTGGAGGAAATGCAAGGCTTTAGCATCTTCCTTTTTTCTCTGCCCAGTTGTAAACTTCCCTTGAGGCATAGTTGCCATGGTGGGTTTTGGGACTCCAGAGATGATTCTGGAATACAAAATTGAATGTAAAATATCCCTGTGTCACGAAGAACTCCTTGGTTCTGCATTACAAGGAATGCCTTAGCCTCTTGAGTCAGTCCCTGCAACTTGTGGAGACCTGCATGACCAACCAGATACTCATTTGTGTTGATAGTTTTGAGCCAGAAGCTTGAGGGGAAGCTACGCAGCAGCTTCTCTCCCCAGGGAAGCTGCAGCAGCCGATGCTTGTTAACCAGCCTGGTGTGAAGACCTGCAGGAGGCAAGCCAGCCATCTCTTTTTCCATCTGTTATAGTAAGACAGGGGACCACCTGCACCTGATGGCCACAGGTATACCCCAGGAAAGAAAAAAAAAAGCTGGACATGGCAGACTTGAGGCTCCATGTTCACTAGGGTGCTTACAGACAAGTATTTAGACTTTACAAACTCCTAAACTAGAAGATAAAAGTTTTGCACAGCCCTGTATGTTTATAGGAAAATGGGGAAAGGGTTTTCTCTTCATACGAATAATGCATTCCTCAAAATGGGAGCAGGAGAAGAAGACTTAGTGTTAGGAACTTACTTTCCACAAGGAGTAATGGGATGGAATAGGCAAGTGTTAGGTGCCATCAAGTTGCTCAGTACAATCTATAAATGATGCAAGATTGATTCAAAACCAAACGTCACAAATTTTAGGAAATTTTGACTCTGAACTCAGTAGCTTGTAACCATACCCAAAGCAGGTTGAAATTAATGGTGGCAGTTTGTTGGCACTTCTGCATTTCTGTTAATTAAATGAGCGTTTTTGTGTTCACAGGGTAGAAAAGGATTTACACTGAATATTTGCAGGGTAATAATTAAGCATTTGAGACACTTCTGCAGTGAAAATTAACTTGATCCAGCTTTCCTTTTAGCAAAGCATAGTTTGGGTTTGAGAAATAAAGGACCGTAGGCAGCAGTAATTTAGTTCTCTGATTGACAGTTACTCAGTGAGTCATTGAACCAGATCCCACCAGTGACTAATACACATTTATTAAAATAGATTCCATTATCTCATGATGAGTTCTGCTGGTGACTGTTATGGTACGTTTCTTCATTGCATCAACCTAAAGTTGAGGGAATTCCTTGTGATAAATCTAGAATTCTAGGTGAGCATACAGCTGTAACCAAACAGACCTCACCCTGCTCCAGTTACGTTACTTTGTTTTATTGCCAGGTGAAATTAAGTAGGGTAACAAAATACATAATTTAAATCTGAGATGAGTAATTTTTTATTTACAAGTTTACTCATCAGGCTTTAACTCAGAAGACAAGGAGATTCTTAAGACTTCAGCAGTGATTCTCCAGTTTCCATCTTGTTTATACTAAACTTTTCTCTGGATTGAATTTTTGCATGCAAATGACAAAATTATTAGCTTCTAATTGACTGTATTTAATTTTTTCTGCCATGGAGTAATACAATTAAAAGCTTTTTGCTTGCATTTTTAACTTTCTGGAAAAATCTCTCAGTAGGGACACTTTGTTTTTGTCACAGTATTAGTCATAGCATTGCTTTCATTTTCTCATACCCACTTGTTTTCAGTAACCATCCACATTATACCAGTATCAGAAATAGAGAATTCACTTCTCTATATATTGATGCAGGAGGGCTAACAAGGAAAGGGAAAGGATGTAGTATGTGACCTGCAAAATGGAGTCTTTCTACCAAAACAGTTACCCAAAGAGATTTATGTTTCCTTACACCTTCCACAACAGGAACATAGAGTGGGATCTGAAAACATCTAAAAGGTCAAAACATGTCTGTAGACACTCCAAAGGCAATCTGTATATTACATGGGATCTTGGTATTGTTATGCAGGCAGAAATTGAGTCCAAAACAACAGCACATGCTTTAAGCTAAGATTAGTAAATTAAATTAGTATAGATGATACACATTTAGTACCAAGTAGTGATAAACAATTATATTAGGTACCATTCAGTCTCTGTCCTTGATTTGCTGTCTGATTTGAGTCAAGCAAAATAGTCTGGTGTTCAGTTTGCTTGCAAATAAAGTGATGCTTAGCAGGCATGTGA